TGCCCTCGCCGCACGGCTGGTCCCGACCCTCTCCGCCGGCCCAGGAATCCCGCTGTCGCCACGCCGGCGAGCCGTCGCTGGGGTGTATGTGTGTGAGTTGCTGTGCCTCCCGCCCGAAGGCAAGAACGGCCCCCCGTCCTCGAGGGTTCTGTAACTAGGAATCGGCACGGTATGATTTAAATTTCGGGCTTGTGTGTGCTTTTCCCCAGCTGAGATCAAAAGGCCAGGTTGGGATCTTCCCGAGAACAAGGGGGTGCGCTCTTTTCTACCTTGTGCCAGCAGTAAGTTGCATTACCAGTTTTTCCTCTCCCCCCAGAATGAATTTTCATGAAGAGGTAACTTGAAAGCGAAGAAACACGTGAAAAGGAAAACGCTCCCTGGAAAATGCAACCAGGACAGCTCCGAGGCATCTCGATTAACACTGAAAAGGACGAATGTTCTAAAACCAGGCAGCTAGCTACAAATGAAGTCATGGAGTCCCAGTGGATTACTGAGAAGGAAAAAAAAGTTGTTTCTCTCAGCCTCAGGTAGCACACGCCAACCTGCAGCCTTCCTTGGGTTACATAAATCCTGCAGCAGGAAGGATATCCGCCCTAACTCAGTTCTGGACACAAACCTATCTGGGTAAACTTGCTATAGCTGTATGTCAAAGTGTATATAGGTACATGAATGAAACTACAGAAAATAAGGGTAACACTAGAGCTAAAACCCATTAAACCGCCAAAATAAACACAATGAACTTAAATATTTTATTCCAACAAAAATTTAACCCTTTATTGCACTTTGAACATATACATGACAGTTATTACCCACAATTATCGATTATTTCAACACTGATGCTACACCTGCCAAGTATAATGCTGCCTGAAGATGCAACATTCCAGGCACTGATCCTGCAGTTCGAGCCAAAAGTATTTACAAAATTCTACTTTCTTGTCTAATATACTAATCGCCACAAGTTTTAAAATAACATTGTTATGCAATAAGAAAATCAACGTTGCATTATTTTTTAACAAACATTAATATTTTGACAACGATTTTCTGTATGATGACATTTAAGAATATTTTTGCATTTTAATTTCTTTTATCCAACTAGCAACTCCCTTTAAAGTAAAAAACAGTGAAGCTTGAGCTTTAAAATGCTTTACCATATAATGCAGAATCAAGATAAACTTTAAAAGCATATTTTGTAACCTCCAGGCCTGATTTCCTTCTACTTGAATGAGAATTTCTTTATACTATTTTCAAAACGCACACGCAAAATATGAGTTAATGACTAATACTCCGCATTTTAAATGTACCTCTTGCCTCTCAAAATCCTTCAGTCTTCCAATCCCAAGACTGAACATCTTTTTGAAAAGTCAAGACACAGCACACCATGATTTAGACCTTAAGTATAAACTGATATTTCTTCTCCTTTTGACTAGATCTCACTCATACGTGAGCTAAAATATGCTAACAGCTTTTTCTTGTAAGAATTCTTTGCATAGGTGAATGCAAGTCAGAAATTTCTTATCCCTTGGTTTTTCAAACATAGATCTAAAATACTTGAGGGTATTATATTTGCTTTATTAATGAGCCCATACTAAACCCACTAACACTCATCTATTATTGTTCACTAGAAAATGATCACTCTGGAAAATAAATAGCTTATTTGACATGCTAATTCCAGATGGAAGCTTATGGTTCAATACAGAAACTGCAGGGTAAAGTTCTTTGGCCAAACGCAGTTGGAGAGAACTGCAATAGTTCTCTTGTGGCCCTGACAAGTCTTATAAAACACGTAACTTCTTTAAAAACCTATTTACTACACAACAGCTAATGTATATGTGATTACGCTCCTAGCATTATAGAAATACTTAAACAACTTCCCTAATTTCCAGATGTGCCTCAGGTTAAAGTTTATATACAATGGAAACTACCCAATAATATTGCACTTCAGTGACCTGCTATAGCCATTAAAAACCTGTTATTATAGCTACAGAAACTGCTCTTACAGTTTCCAGACAAGAGACCTTTCTGTGTTTTGATGCATTGGAAATCAGCTTAATCAATGGGATTTTAATGAATAGTTAGAGTAAATTTAAGATTGGTCTATATAAATAAATGCTGAAAATTAGCAAAAGAGAGGACGCTTTTCTCCATAGTATCATTTAGGAATACAAATTGAATATATCATGGATTATATTAGAATGTCTACATAGAGCCGATTAAATCAACAGAAGGAAAGACAACTTGTGCCAAATGTGTGCAAACCAGTATTAGATAATTGGAACAAGTTCTGTGTAATAAAAATCTTTTCAAGCAATATTAGACTAGAGGATTTTACGGATTCCATGTTTCGATATAGCATTGTACAGCAGATAGTTTTAAAGTTAACTTAACATTTCTCTTATAGCTGACAAATACGTTAGTTCTACCTTTATATAAAACCTATCAACTGCTGAATTCAAAACTAAGAAGCAATACAAGGTATGAACCCTATTTTTATCTCAGATACAAACCTTAAATTCACATTACCATATTTCTTTTTCCACTAAAGATCTTAAAATGAAGTTAGTTCTAGAAAAGAAATTATAGAAAAAAAAAGAAAAAAAGAAGTTCTAGAAAAAGAATTTAGTTCTAATTTCTAAACAATTTTCCTTGCCACTGCATGTATCAAAACCCCAAGAACTGTCCTTTAAAATTATCCACACTCTGCTTGGTAGTTCTGTAAGTTCTGTGCTTCCCATACAGAAAAATAACATTACAGAAGACATTTATCTCTAACTAGGCAAGAAAAAGGAATACTGCACTGGGTACACCATTCATTTTTAAAGTAAGGATACTCATTGCTATATTTTAAAAATAAGAACATACAACATAAATCCTTATTATGCAAATAAATTTGTAACAAACCACCTTCCTTATAATGGTAACAGACCATTCTGAAGGGTAAGAAGTTACTGGGAGTGTGACAATTATGCAAAGAAGAACATGGACTATTATGGGAGAAAAGAATCAGAAGAGAATGAGAAAATATGTAGTATATAAACCAGTGAAATTACATTCTCCAAGAGCTCATAAATCTATTTTAAAGGGGACTTTAATATGCTTTTGGCTCAGAACCAGAAAAACACCACTACCCTTGCCTTAATTTAAAATATTCTTAAATTTCTAATGACAGGACTTTGATGAGATTAGAATGTTTTAGCTATCTGAAAGTGTAAGAAATGCCTTCCAATAATTTACTTGAGGCTTTGGGAAAAAAAAAAAAATTAAAAGTGGCATGTCTGCTTTTGTTACCCAGTGATGAAAATCAGTCTGTATATAAAAAAAATCAGCCCCTCTCCCAGGATCAAGAAAGAAAGAAAAGCTGTAGCAGTTTAAGAAAGATTTGATACCTATATACTGTTAAATGTACTGTGTAATTTAAATACCTATCTGACTCTCTGTCTGTAATCCTTTATAGTATGGCCTCAAATTTAGTGAATCTTGATTGCCACTTCAACAGTTCTTGAATTGCACTACACTGCTATATAATTAGCATTTAATAATACAGTTTGTTAATTAGAAGAACACTTGCAATGAACCATAAACCAGAACCTGGAACCAGATCAGTTAGATTATTTTTGGTTAGAAACACCTATCTATTTATAAATTTACTGTGGATGTACTTTCTTGGCAAAGCATTCAGAAGGAAAGCAATCCTGCTTGTATTTCCATTAAAAACAAGCTATATTAATAAAAAAGCATATGATCATGTTTCAGTATTTTGAAGAGTGCCGATACATATCTGTATTTACCTCTATCTACAAAAATCTGTAGCACAACTTATGTTTAGGACAGTATAGGTGGCCAAACCTACAGGGAGGGAAACAATAATTTCAAGAGACCTGCATACATTTAAAAAAACCCTCTACTTAAATGTAATTTTAGTTTCATAGTTGAAGTATTAGTAACATTAAAGTGTTACAATGTAGGAATCTCACTACTTATCTTTCATGGCTTAATGGTATTTATACAAATACTGCAGAATTAAAATACATTTTATACAGTTGAAGTTGCTCAGAATGCACCTACAATTGAAGAGTTTAGACTAAAAGCTAGAAAAGTGTCTATGACAGGCTTGATGTTAGACTGCCTTTAGTTTAACAAGTAGTTTTAGTGCATATTCCTATGAAAGTACTGACTTCCATAGAAGACAAAGTTCTAATGAGAAACAAATTCTTATAATATCATGCTCAGTAACATTAAGTCTAACTCTTACATTTAATTTTGAAAGAACACTTACTGTTGTATTTTCAAGATTTACAACTAGTTTTTAATTTGGCTATATGTACAATTAAAAACTAATGCATAACAGTAGAATGCAGACATGTGCAAATGTCAAAGATTTTGTTTAACAGAAACTCAAGTTCAACCAGATTTTGTTCTTGTGCCTTATGATTTTTCCTAGGTTTTCTCCAGACCTTGATCATATTCTAATGCACTAACCACAATGACCTTAAAACTCCAAGCTTAACTTTCATAGTCTTTTATGAATCATCAAAACGTAACTGAATCATCAATATAAAAACAATTACTGAAAAAATATACATGGAACTGAAGAACTGCATCACAGTTTTACTTGAGACTCTATCAACATGTACCTGAATTGACTTTGATAAATAAGTTACTGAAGTATGTAATACAACCATACTTACCTGTAGGAAACAGCTAGAATGTTAGTTCGGTAACATTTCATACGTGTCCAAGGCAAAAGTAGACATTTAAAGTACTTCTGCAAGAGATTGTTGGCTCTTAAAGCCAACTTCAAACAGGAAAATTATTCAACAGATAAAGTGTATTTTCATTTGAAAATTGTTTTCCATCTTACAAAATTACTACTTTAAGCATTTCTTTGAGGGAAAAGTGTGAAAAGGCCGAGAGCATGCTGTCTAAAAATACAGTAGCAATTTGCGAGCAATGTTTCTGCAGAAAATTGAAGCTTCCAACATCCAGTTTAGTAGCAAAAATATTTATTCTCTTTCAACTCTTAGTGTGTTTCTGATGGTAACCTCCATTTTATTTTTAAACTGCTCGTATGTCTTTGTTATAGGGAGTTCCAAGCAATTAAGGAGTCTGTTTCCAACTGGATAACTTATATGCAAAAATTTTATAGTAGGTTCAGGATCAAAACCAATGGGCGGTATGGAAAAAGAACCTGTTACAAAGAGCAGAATGTCCTCCAATGTCACTACAGACTCACCACCTAAAAAAAAAAATAGGATTAGGTTATATCATTTATTGTCTGTTACCCTCATAAATAATTATCCTGCATGTTAAGAGTTAGAAGAAAAAAACCCACCTGAGATCAGGAAACCCCAGATCAATATGCTGAATGAGTTATATGGCCAAATAAGAAAAAATTTATCAAGAAAAAAGCACTTGGGTTAGTTCTGAAATATCTTAATAGAAAAAAATGCAGTCTTCTGCAAGAAGAGACCACTGTTTTCAATCTTTTTTTTCACACACACAACCTAGTAAGTTCACAGCAAAGCTGAAGAGAGGGAATTAAAAGATTTTTCTGTACCACTCAGGTTGGTTTTGTTTTAAAAAACTCCCAGGAGTTCTAGTACCAGTATTCCAGATATTTATCCCTCTGAAGTTTGATTATAAAAGGTCAATATTTTCAGAAATTATAATTAGTAAGGAAGAAGAGGAAGAGGGAACAATTAGGAACTAGCAGTGACCTCAAAATCCATTTATTTACCCCACTGAACTCTTAAAAAAAAAAAAAAATCAAACCCTGTATGTATACCAGCAGCTAAACAGGGAAGGGGAAAAAAAAAAAAATTACTTACTTTCCACATCTTGCAAATAACCCATCCAAAAATCAGCACCTTCAACTTCATTTACATCCGATGAGCAATGGATTGTAAAAAGATCACAAATGGTTTCTGCTGAAAGTCTTTCAGGTTTGTGGCACAATATACTAGAGAACGCATCCGGATGCATTTGCATTTTCTCTAGCACACCAAGAGTTTTCAAACCTTGCCTAAAACTAGGAGAGAGGGAAAATAAAGAAAGCAAACATGCATCAGAAAGCCAGTAGGTGACTAATTGTACTCACCATTTTATAAAGCTCTAAGACCAGACACAGTAAGATTTCCCCATCTGCAGTCTCCAAGTCTTATCAATAAGGTGCACACAGTAATCACATTTTATTTTAACCTTGGAAAATTAATTAAATTCTCATTTTAACAACTGAAGTGTTTTGGTGGGGCTTTTTGGGCAGATGAAAGACATACCAGTGATATGCAGAAATCAACTATCCCCTAGTAATTGATCCTGGTTTACTTTTAATTTTTATGTAAGAACATGCTGAAATTCTTTCTAACAAATACCACTTCAGAAAAGAGTTTAAATTCCTTGTCCCTAGGCAAAATAAGGTGCCTTAAAAGATAGTCTTCACTTGGCTTCTGCAGTCTGCATGTGTTTACATGCTATTACTTCTCCCTGGGCCAAATGCAGATAACCATATCCTTGGCTGCATTAGGAATCCTGGTGCCAGCAAGTCAAAGGAGGTAATCCTTTCCCTCTGCGCAGCACTTGTAAAGCCACATGTTGTGTGCAGTTCTGGGCTCCCCAGTGCAAGAGAGATGGACATACTGGAGACACCCAAACAGACGGCCACTAGGATGATTAAGGGACTAGACCATAACTCTACGAGAAAAGCTGAGAGAGCTGGGACTGTTCAGTCTGGAGAAGGCTCAGATGGAACCTCAGCGTGTAGAAGAATCTGAAGAGATTGAGCATAGTCATCAGAGCCAGGCTCTCTTCACAGGTGCCCAGAGCCAGGACCAGAGGCAATGGGCACAAACTGAAACACAGGAGGTTCCATCTAAACATCAGGAAACACTTCTTCCACTGTGAGGATGACCGAGCACTGGCATAGGTTGCCCAGAGAGTTGTGGAGTCTCCTCCATCCACGGATATATTCAAATGCTTTCCAGACATGGTCCTGGGCAAGTGGTTCTGGGTGGCCTGGTTTGAGCAGGGGATGGTGGACAAGATGACTTCTAGAAGTCCCTCCAACCTACACCCCAGTCTGATTCTGTGATTTGACTTTTTTTTTTAAAAAAAAAAAAAAGCCCAGCTTTACAATTTGACCACTATGTTAAATCAGAATTAAAATTTTACTTGTTTACTCATCATTTCTTAGATCAATAGACTGCATCAGTAAAAGTCAGAAAACACATCTTGAAAGTGTACAGTCAACATTAACAATTAAAGTAACTAACTCTTTAATTACTCTGTGATTAATACTGACAAGCAAATTCTTGCTCTACTCACTTTTGCACATAAAACCCATCTCCAAAAATGCACAAAATCACATTTTCCCATGAACACCCTATTTATTACCTTTCACTTTTTAATTGATCGGTAGTTTTAAAATTTGATATTCAATGGTCAAATGTGCCACAGAGTGGCATGTATTTCAACCAAGAGGGCCTTGACTGAAAGGCTAATTACTTTCAACGTTGTTAAAAAAATCCTCACATTCAAAATTAGCTTTTCATAGCTCTTGGAAATTCAGTTGATTTAAATTTGTCAAAGATAACATCATAAACATATTAAGTATAAATCCAACTATACTTTTTGGAAAAATTAGCATCCAATGCCTTTTTACTGAGCAAATGAAGAATGCAAATTGGAAGTAACATCAGAGCACTCAAAAAACAGACAACAGCTGCAACTTTCCCAGCTAGTGAAGTCATCACTAACTCATGGAACCATCAATGTAATGCTTACATTTTAAGTGGGCCAACTTATACTTGTGCACAGTATTGCCTTCCCTAATGGCACACACAAACTCCCTAATTAGAACTCTGGAAAACTCATTTAAATTCTAAACATATGTTTAACACATCTAAAATTTAAAGATTCTAAATTTGAGCAATTTTGAATTAAAAAAATGAAAAAAATGTTATAGCTAGAGAAATTTTGTAGTGCAGAGATCTTTGTCATGCTATAGCTTACAACTGTCAATCTGATCTCTTCATAAGGTTGAGAAAGGAATGTGACCAAGGAGAAGTGGAACAGAGCAGACACGTGGACAAACAATTGCAGTCTTTCAATCTAACTAACTAGTTAACAGTTGTTACTTAATCCACTGAAAATTACAGTACCTTTTTTTGGTTTAAATGGGGAATAAGTAAGAACATGTGAAAGTTAGTTTTAGCAACATATTATTTAGTATTTCAGTGTTGAAAAAAATCCAGTTAGTTTGAAAACAAACAAAACAAACCTTTCTAAGGGTGACATAATTCTCTTGATTACATGATGGATCAGTATGTCATTCACCAGCATATTCTTATCACATAGAGCTGTTACAGGTCTTAAACATCCAGCAGCAGCAAGGAATTCGTAAGAGTTGTGTATTGCAGACTGCAGGCTGGGCAGACTATTTGCATATTTTATCTGTATCAGAAGATAAATGTTAGGAAGTTGGCATGTGTGTAAAATGATACTGAATAAGACCTTCTTTAGCTCCAAATACAGTCTTGAACAAGAGTTTGCCAATAAATTTAGTTTTATTTACCATTTGTATTGTTTGTGCAACATCAACATCAGCAACATCTTCCAAAGCTGGCTTCACATTCTCTGGACCATAGACAAGGCAATTGAACAGTGTTTTGGAAAAGAAACCAGGAGATGGGCCACCATGAACCAGAGAAACTGCAATCATCTTACCAGCTTCAAAATAAAGATTCTCTTTTACAGCTGCAAATGAAAAATATATATTTATTACATATGCACAAAAATAATCTGTTATTCTCAACTTTGTATAGAAAGTCTCCTAATGCAATTCCTTCTTACTTTACGAGATGCAATAAATGAGATTTGCCAACTCCTGCTGGTTGAAACGATAAGACCAGTTTTTTTTACATAGGATTACAATATTCTTTTACTCAAACTCCTCAGCCACTATCAAGGTTTGGGAGGAGATGTAACTTTCTCTTCCAGTTTGTACTCAATGCACATTTAGTTCTGAAGCGTAAGAACTCAAAGAAGCTAACTTTGGGTCTTTAGGGAGCATGCTATCAGAGATAACGTTCTAGAAATTTGAGGAAAGGAAAATAAGTAACATAAAGTGAGTCAGGAAGAAAGAAATTCACTTGCAGAGAACAAATACATTTTAATTTAAAAGTTCCAAGTCTAATTATATGCTACATTTTTTCCTTGGTTTTCATCAACTTTTTCAACTAAATCACTTTTTTGTCATTACAAATTTGCACCCCACCCTCTCTGGAACTGAATAGCAAGAAAATTCAAGAACCAATTTCTATCCATCGGGACTACAATTGTGAACTGACAATCATATTCGCTGTAAAATCTTTCAAGTTACATAGTTCTTATTGTACTTTTGAAGAAAGCATTTAATTACCTTGAAAATCAAGGGACAAGTTCTTTGCAGAAGAGCCCTCAAACAGTGATGAATTCTGAAGGTGATGCATTAATAATTGGAAGAAATGGCGTTTTGATGCAGCAAAAGTATCTCTCTTTGATCTATTTTTGCAGTTTGTGAATTTTATTTCAATGGTATTTGTAGGACTGAAGTTGCGCTGTCTAAACCCTTTCAAAGTACTATTCCAGATGTTATCTGCATTGATGTTAAGCCTTGTGGTTTTTGTATTAACTTGTAGCTTTAACTCCTTCAGTATATTAGAAGCTTCCATTCTCTGGTTTCTTAAATACCTACAAGAAAATTGCATGTATTTTCAGATGAAATCTGATTAGTAATTAGCAAGTTATATAGGAAACTTCCTAAAATCTACTAAGAAAAGCACCTCTTAAAAACACTTTAGTACATTTATGTATTGGCTAAATTATAGAAGTAAAATATTTGGTGTAGATTCTTCAAATTTTAACCCTGTAATGTGGTAATTTTAAAGGACCTCTAACAAGTAGAAAAAAGGAGGTAGAAATAATTACCTTGGCATAAAATGAATAATTATTTTCTTAAATCAGTTACACTAACATAGTGCCAAACAATCCTCACACCCTCATTTTACATTTGATCAATGTGAAACAAGTGAGAAATTAACATAAACATGGTATAAGCTCTTCAAAGAGATGCTCTGCAATCAAATTAGAATACACTGTCAACTGTTCACTAATATTTAATCTTTGTCACTATAATAAAAAATATATTTTAGTAGGGAGAAATATTGCAGTTATTTAAAAAAAAAAGACACCAGTCTAAGTAAAACCTTTGGTTTTTTAACTTGAAACCAAAACTGTTTCAAATACCCTATCTACTGGAAGTAACTAATACCCTTATCAGAATTTTTAGCATGTATTACAGGTAGGATTCATAAATTAAGTACTCGCAAGAAGACTAAGAATTTTGTATCCTTAAACGGAATATTTTATATTAGAACATATTATTTTACCACTGATTTAGCATAATCACAAACTATTCCTATGGTACAAGTGGCAAAAACATTGAAAATTCAGGACATGACCAATCTGAATAAAATAAATAGGCTTCTTTTTATTCCCCCTTTTCTAAAGAATGGCTTACCATGCTTCCATAAGGACAAACATGCATTTCTGGGGTTTGATCCCCCTCACTAATGAACCTAGAAATTCTAATAGGTACCATTATTTTCTCCTCAGCCCCTCTAGAACTTAGAAACAGCAGAAGCCTTTATCAAGTTATGGCTTCAGCTCCTCAGTGTACTCCTTCAATTTTTTCAGTGACCATATATACCCACAAATACATATAGCCATTGTAAGTGTATATATATGTACACACACACACCATGTTCTGTAGGAAGTGTGGAATAAGGCCATATGCTAGATTACTCTTCAATGTAAGAAAAATAGAATGAAATACTTTTTTCTCTGGGACCAGTTCCTGTTTGACATCAGTGGAGATAAGGACATTGTCACTCTGTTGGATGCTGGAAGCTCTAGGTGTGAACAGGGTGACAAGTTGTTCTGGCACATTATCTTTGGTGATCTATAAGCCAAAACAGTACTGTAAGAAGAGATGCAATTGAAGAATGCATAAACACTTATTTGAAGGTAGCAATACAACTTCCCCCTATTTCAGTATTGAATCTCATTTGCATATTCAATTACATGAAGTCCATCAGTGCCTGAACTACAATTTAAAAAAATAATTCAGTAGTTTATTACACGGTAGTTTTCCGATCCGTTTTGAGTTACATCCCATACATGAGATGGAAATCCTGACTGATACAATAAGTGAAAGCTAAAAATATTTGTTTCTACAGACTTGAAAAGGTTTTATTACAGCAGAGGACAACATTATTATATAAACATCTCTTTAAGCTAGATTACTAGCACACTATTAATATGCAAAAAAATACTGATAAGCAGCTTTAGGTTTTGCCATTTGTACATTCAAAGTTACTTCTGAGTTGTTAAGACTCCTTCTACAAAGATCTAATTTTATCAAACTAAAACTGGTTACATACCACCAAATGCAAAGAACTATGGCAAATTTAGAGTTCATGACTTAGATTTAATCCCTAAAATTTACTCCAATTTTATTCAATTTACAATTCAGCGTAAGAAGTTTCTCCTATGGAATTAGCCATCACCTCCTCACGTTTAAATACTATTTTATGTTATAATCAACTTCTGCTTGAAAACAGAAAATTACACACTGAAGACAATTGCGTTGAGATCCAGGTGACTGCCGAGGGCACTTTGGAGATGGCTCTTCCAGCAAACAAGTTGTCCCATCTGTCTTTTCAGAGGTAGTCAAAGAATGCTTTTTCCGTTTGCTATAGTTCCCTGTATGATTAAATTAATATAATTTAGTCAAAGTTTTTAGATGTGAAATACATAGTATTAAAATTTATAAAGTTACAGTCACATCTGTAACTCTACCTGATTTTGCAATGATACTTCTGCATTCCATGCACTCCCAGTTTTCCTCCCATGACTTTATAGATGAACAGGCCAAATGAGTTCCACGGGAGCCACAACACTGACAACGCTTTATTTCCCATTTACTAAAATTAAAAATTTAGGTACTTAGAATTAGACAGAAAAATGAGGCTAGTTAAAACAAAGAATATTCATCACTAAGTGTAATCCAGACACTAAACTAACAAAGTATAATTTTATCGATCTGGTAGAACTGTATATAATCAAGAGAAACTTTTTTCAGAAGAGATGTACTCACAGTTCTTAGCTTCAACAAGAAAAAAAAAAAGTTACTTATGTTCCAGCACCTTGTATTGAAAGAAGCTAATGAGTTAGTGTTCTGCCTGCCATTAGTCAATAGCTTGCAGCCAATATTTTGTCCTCATGTTGCTAGCCAGCAACATCCTCTGCATTTTAGGGGTATCCACCATTCAGCTTCTCCAAATGGTACTTTTTTTTAATGGAGCATATCTGATTATTCTTATGCATTATGAATAAGACTCTTCATTAATGACTGTGCATAAGTTTCTGTTAGTTCTTTTTCTCCAGATTTCTTTAATTTTGCTGAAACATACAATGTAACAATTGACTGATATTAGTTCAAATACTGGAAGCCTAAAGGTACAACTCTTAAAGGCAAAGTAATTACTGAGATGCTGTCCTAGTCCCAGGCAGCGATGAGCTGCTCTCCTAGGGCCAGTTTATAAGATTTTGTTTCATTCCATAATACATCAAGTGAGTGGTCACTGTACCCCCATACCGGCAGCGCTGGGAGCGGGCCAGGAGAAAGCTTGCAGAAGCTGGACACGGAAGGTGGGAGGGGGTCGCCTGGGAGGTTCCAGCTGGCAGCGTTTTATTTATATTTTTTTTTTTCCCCCCTCTCCCCAGCGCTGTCATTTCTTTCTCCTGACCTAGCGGTTGGTGATTAGCAGACGGTTAGCGTCTTTTGTCAAGGAAATTGCTCTGGGAAAGGGCGGTTGGAGGTTTTCTTCACTCCTCCTCTCGGCTCCCGGGCTCAGGGAGGGTTTTCTCCTCGGGGCTTTGGTTTTATTTTTGCTTGCTGTTCTGGAACCCGGCTGTGTCCACCCGCGGGTGGTGAGATCCTGTATCATTTGTTCTATTTTCCTGTTCTTTTAATTACTTACTAGCAATAGTATTGTTAGTAACTCCACAAATTTCATTTATATAATTAAATAGTTCTTAACTACTTACAAGCCTCCCTTGGTTTTTTCCTCACTGGGAGTGGAGAGGGGGGGAGGGGTGGGGTGGTAGAGCACTTTACCTGCCCGACAGGGCTAAACCACAATAGTTCTTTTTGACACCCAACGTGGGGTCGAGAGTTTAGATCAGAAACAGATCATGTGTGACAAGCCCGGAGAAAACAACATAGTGGTGGCTGATCCAGGCGCCGAGTTTGGGACTTTTCAGGCTGCTGACCAAACGGCAGGATCTGCTGCCTTATGTGTTACTGATTACCTTGATTTTTTTATGTGCGAGCCAGGCTTAGGGCTTTGGTCAGGCTGTTCTGTGTGCTGCTGGTGCTGGCAGGGGTAATCTACCTCTATCTGTACTTAATATTGTTGGCCCCCCCATACATCGTGACTTATCTCCTGGAGGGTTTCCACAATTCCACCTCTCCCTTTTTCCCCTCAGGGACACCGCCGATAGGGGAG